AAAAATTTTCCCCCCCCCCCCCGGGAAATTAAACCATTCCCCCCCCCCCCCCCTAGAAAGTTTTCTGCGGGCGCCCATGCACATACATACATATATATACATACAAACAAATATACACACATATACACATGTACACACATACACATATACACACAAAAATACATTAAACATACAGTCATACATACATACCTACATACATATATACACACATACATAACCACATACATATAAACATAAATAGATACATACATTTATACAATTTTACATACATACATAAATGCACACAAACACACATACAAATATACATATATACATCCATACATAAACACTCATGCACACATTCACACATACATAAAAACATACATACACACATACACACGTACACATATACACATAAACATATATGCATCATACAGTCATACATGCATACAGACACACATACATACACTTTAACATACATACTTACATACACACTTACATACCCAAACTTAACACACAACACACAACAAGAACACACAAACACACTCACACACATACATATTCTTACTTACATACATACAATCATACATAAATACACACATAAACACATTCACACATACATACACACACATACACGCATACAAATATATACACATACTCACATACACACATACAAACATACACACAATGAAACATACACAAAACACAGATACAAACATACACACATACACACACAAATACACACATACACACATAAAAGCATACATTTATACATATATACACATATACACGCATGCATACATACATACACAAATAGTCACTGATGATGATGTTGGGTTCAACGTAGGGCTTACTGGGAGCTGACTGATACATGACCTCAGTCTTCTTTGTGTTGATTGTGAGGCCAAAGTTATTGCAGGCCTCAGAGAAGGTATCAACGCTGTGTTGCATGACGGCTTCTGAGAGAGCATTGAGGGCACAATCGTCTGCAAACAGAAGCTCGTTGATCGTGTTATGTTTGACCTTGGTTTTAGCTTGAAGCCTCCTAAGGTTAAATACTGATCCATCAGTACGAAACCGGATTGGCAAGCCCGTGGCGGAGTCCTTAAACACATCAGACAGCATTGCGGAATACATAATACTGAAGAGTGTGGGAGCAAGAACACAACCCTGCTTTGCACCGTTTGTGACGGGGAATGCTTGACATGATTGACCGTTGTCCTGCACTCGGGCCATCATACAATCATACATACATACATAAATACATACATACATACATACATACATACATACATACATACATACATACATACATACATACATACATACATACATACATACATACATACATACATACATACATACATACATACATACATACATACATACATACATACATACATACATACATACATACATACATACATACATACATACATACATACATATACATACAATACTACATACATACATACAAACATACATTACTACATACATACATGCATACACACATTACATACATACATATATACATACATACGTACATACGTACATACGTACATACGTACATACGTACATACGTACATACGTACATACATACAAACAACTTTATGTCACTTTATACATTTATTCTCATTATCTTGTAGAAATAAAAAACAATGTTTCAATTTGTTGGTTAAAATACTCACACTTGAAAGGCCATGGTGTTTCAAAGTTATACTGAAGCTGTACTTGTTATAAATGCTTTACACACCAGGAAGACCTATGACCTCTATAACTTAGCACAAGGTGTAGGTCTTGTGATAATTCCGTGAACTACCCGTGAAATATGAAACTGAAATTTGTTACGAGTATTGTAAAGAAAACTTTACTTTTTATTTATCCATCTTCACAGGAACAGAATCCTGATTACGGAACAAGTTTCCTTTGTTAAATTACCTGGCGTGTGTTTATAATTTTTTTTTCAAATTAAATGTTAATTATTTATATTGCTTAAACAAATCGATACAATTTTATTTTGTTTTGATTAAGAAGACATTATCAGATCGGGAATTTCCAATTTTAACTGTTTTGAAATAAACATATTATTATGATGGTTCTATTTTGGCTAGCCTAAAATTTGGACGTACCCCATTGTAAAATTTTATACCCTAAATTTAGCTATTTTTAAAATTGTTATTTTCATGTAAATTCATGATTTAAAATAACAACGTAAAAAATGATAATAAACAAATTTCCTAAATATTTCCATGGGGTTTCGGGTAAGAATTAATTCATTTTGATATCTAATTTTTTTTTGTAGCAACCTGTTGTTGGTTTTCAGAATCCAGGTTAAAATTTCGTTTATCTGTTTTAAAAGGCGTTCCCCAACTGTTCCTCAATGAATGGTCATTTCGCCCCCACCCCTCTTTTTACATGTGACGGCCCACGAGCAATTGTTCATTCTGGCTCCTGGTTTGAATTCAGAGTTTGCCTTCTATTAGATGAGTTGTCTTCCAAAGCCAACGAGTACCATCCGCACTGGGTGCTTGGGATGTTGGCTTTGGTGGGGATCGAACTCCAGACCACCAACTTTTGACATGACCTCAGTTTGGTACGGTGCCGTGACTTGGCCTTGTGCAGTGTGCGATGGTGACTTAACAACCCCTGCAGCTGGTGAAGCTATTATGACATAGAAGGTATTCCCGAACCATCGCAATCTATTTCACGCCCCAATTAAATTTCATTCGTTTAACATCCTAAGTATGAAGAGAAATCCACACCCATCCCTCTTTGTCCATTTTTAACAAGCTCATACGACACTATATTTTTTGAAGACAACATAAGAACAAACATAGCTCGTTCAAATAATTGAAGATATTATAATACATTTAGCTTATTTTACTTGTACAGACCGTGAAGTTATTAAAGAGTATTGTTCTAAGACAGGGGTCTCCAAACTTTTCAGCCCGAGGGCCGCATTAACTATCGAGCAGCAGTTTGGGGAACGACTACACACTCGAGGTCCAAATAAAAAAGAATCAAAACATGGATGTTGTTTTTAATCATTTATGTATTATCAATTCACTCAGTTATTATTTAATAACACATTGATACACGACACATGGACACCTGTATTAGTGGGGATGGTGAAATTGTTTCCTGGATGCCAAAATAGCAGTGATTAGCAGACATTTCTGGATTTAGATTTGATGTCCCCAACATCAACAGTGACCTGACATTATCATCAGACAAATTTGTTCTCAAAGTGTTGTTCACGTATTTCGTAGTTGAAAATGTTTGTTCACACAGGCATGTTGTTCCAAAGATTGAACGATACATTGATGCAAATGTTTTGAAATTAGGAAAGTCTTCCTTGGGCGAAAACTAGTTAAAACCCACCAGTCCTTCTTTGAACGTGTCCCTAAGGAGGTTATTTGCTTGCAACTCAATGCCATCCAGGTGCAATTTATCTGGGCGACTTGCCACATCTGATGCAAATGTGTTTTGAAAAAGTCTCACTTCTTCTGCCTTTAAATCCAAGTCAGAAACCGCTGCTGACACTGCAGATGGGTTTTTTTGGGGAACTCAGCTGTTGCTTCAGCCATGAAGATCTTGCACTGCTGAAAGTGTGACAAGTTGTTGGCCTGTACTTGTTCCAAAAAAAAAAAAAAACAAGACGATTTGGATCTGAAGGCTTTTAGGTGGATGAATAGATCAGAAACCAGATTTTCTTCTCCTTGTAGTTTTAGGTTCAGAAAATTTAAATGACGAGTTATGTCTGCAGCAAAGACCAATTTCCATACCCACTCTTCACCAGACACTAATGGCTGTGTCTTGCCTTTACTTTCCAGGAAGTGACCTATTTCCTTTTTTAACTTAAATACTCTGTTCAGACCTTTTTCACTACTTAGCCATCTCATTGTTGTGTAATATGGTAAATCTTGCGATTCTGTCTGTATCTTTCAACAGGTCTCTGAACTATCTAGGGTTGAGCCCATGTATACTTATTAAAGTAACCCAAATTACCACAGGATCCAGTACGTGCTAATGTCCATACGTTTAGTACACAAAGCTTTCTGTTGAATAATATAGTGCAGGAACATTGGTTGCAGATTTTTGTTCTCATTACAATCTGCTTCACTTGTCCAACCAAGCCTTTGTTTATGCTACTCATGTTGTTTCCTCTGTCAAAAGTCAGGCAACTGAGGTTAGTCCAGTCCAAGTTGTAATCAGCAAATGTGTTGTTTTTTTTTAACTCACTGAATGTATCTTCTCCGGGAACTGTGTAGTACATGCTATGTAGGGAAGCCAGCTCTTGTGTTATGTTCATGTCTTCATCCACACCGTTTACGAACACAAGCAATTGATAGGTTGGACAGCTGTCAAGCGATTCATCCATTGCAATTACAAATTGGCAAAACTTGCTTGCATTTTTCGCTATTTTAGTCACAATTTTTTCCCACATGTCTGCAACACGGCTGGCAAAGCTCCGCCACTATATGGCGATATATAATCTCATTGACTGTGAACGGAAGTAGAACAACTAAGCAGCGAATAAGGTTTTACCAAGTAATGATCGGTTAGAAAACATAACACACTGAATGTTAGATTTATTTAACATAGTACATAGACATTTCTTTATTATTTAAGAACATGTATTACAATTTTAAGAAAATATTTTTTCTTTGTAATTCAGGGAGTAAAAAGGAATTAGGTAGGCCTATTTAATATAGAAGAAACAAATTTAGCATAATCTGTTATATAATAAAATAAATATCTATACACATATACTTCTTTTTAAAAAAGTACAGTATAATTTATTATTTCCTAAATGTACATTTCAAGAAGTGGAAATTTTATTTTTCTTTAAAAGATGAAACATAACAAAGCCCGATTCAGTTACATACGTACAAATTTGATTTCTAGATGTTGATGTTTCGCAACAGCAGATTTAAAGTAGCGCATAATTCATTCCATTATTATTTCGGGAACACCGGGTCATAGTTTCTAGTTTTTAATAAGCCTTTATTCAGGAAGATTTTCGTTGTGCTTTAGTTGGTTGTACGCATTTAAATAAAGCTTTGGTATGTGTTCACAGAACAGTGCAGGTGATTTCAAAACATAGTTGAGATAATTTTTTTTCAACAAAGGATAAGATGTTTAATGCAATCAAAATATGAAATTATAATTTGTAACATTTGAAGAAACTACAGTTCATTGCTTGGCATAATGCATGTTGAACATTAGATTAGAATCATCACATAGTTCAGGGCCGTGCATAAAGGGGGTCTTAGGAGTACCCGGAGGGGTTGTTTTATTAATTTTTTTTTCTAAAACCAGTTTTATATAGCAAACGTGTGTTGGGAAGGGGGAACCGCAAGTGATTAAATCCCACACTAGCATTTAGTAAAACAACGCCACTTAATGGGTGGGTGCATTTTATGAGTATGGTAATGTCTCAAAGGCATAATTTTTAACACTCGAAGAAGCAATTTCTGCAAAAATTAGATTTAACTTTTACATTAAATTATTTACTAGCTGCGCATTTATCAAAAGCTTCTTAAATGTCTAACAATAATTGTCTGACTAGATTTTTAACATCATGGTAGTTTTACAGCTAAAATGGTGGAATACACTGAACAATGGGAAAATATTATATGTCACTCCGTCCGGTCATCTCATCAGGAATATTTAAATGGGCATTTTGAATCAGTATCTATAGAACTTCGTCATTAAAAATAAAATATTTAAAAAAAAACTCTCTATAGTATTCCAAGTGTCCATCCATCTGGTGTAATATTTCTCTCATCTGTACATGACAAGATATAATGGGTACCACGCTATATAAGACCACTTATTATTATTATTATTATTATCGCATACATGGATTTTGATCAAACTTGGCCTTGGGATACACCCCTCTATCCATAAAGATGTCCTCATTGGTTTGCATTTTTAAAAAAAATTAAATGTCCCATTGAAGGCTGGGGGCTCAAATTTCGTCTCGCTTCATTTGCGCTTTATAAATACAATTATTATTATTATTATTATGAATAGAAAGAATACGCGTGTCTTTTGTAAACTTTGTAAAAATACACTAAAAATGTAACGAAAAAAAAAGCTGTAAGGTTTTAAATCATAAAACTCAACACTGTTGAGGGAAACTCAATTTCATTTTCCTAAAAGACGCCACATCTCTTTCATTTGTCTACTGATTTTAATGAGACATTTTTTAAGTTTTACCATAACTATTTATTTGATTGATTATTAGGAAACCTTTATAAGTGGTAATTTTAAACAAAAAATCAGGGTATCGAACGGTTCTTACTGTTCAACATCGAAACATTATTTTAGCTTTATTGGAAAATATCTGGAGTTAGGGCATTTTGTTTTTAGATAATAATAATAATAAAGTGTATTTCAAAAACACGCTACATCCCCAAAGGCTCGAAGCGCGGTACAAAGTCAACAAAAAACAAATCTATAATTTACCACATTTAAAACAAACGCAACACTACAAAAACTAATTACAAGCATACCAAGTCAAAGTCTTTCTAGCCATTTCAACCCTAAGCAACACAACCAATATGCATTAACTGGAAAATATGGTAGACAATCATCCCAGAATGTGTTTGCGAAATAGATGTGTCTTTAAATCGGTTTTAAAGGACTCCAGAGTCTGGTTGTTTCTGAGATCGACAGGAAGGGCGTTCCAAATTGTTGGACCAGCAAATGCGAAAGTGCGCTTTCCGTAAGTCTTAACGCAAACACGTGGTGTCGAGAGTTTGCCACTGTCGGATGAGCGGAGTGGTCTAGTGGGTACATAAGGTGCAAGCAGCTCTTTCAGATAGGACGGCGCCAGGTCATGTAAGCAGCGGTAGCACAAAGTTGCGATTTTGTACTCTGTGCGAGCACGCACCGGCAGCCAGTGCAACTCTCTCAGAAGTGTTTTTGCATGGTCGAACTTGCGCTTGCGGAATAACAATGCGAGCCGCATCATTCTGTGCTATTTGAATTATATCCAGGAGCGTAGATGTTATAGTACTAAATGAATGGCTACAGAAATGATGACTTAATTTCAAGGTTAAAAAAAAAGAATTATACAGCAAGTAATATATCATTTCGCAAAGATATAAAGATTATGAAAATGGGATCAAAAAGTTAATGGGAATTTTTATTTAAGTTTTATAGATTTCTGCACTTTCCTGGGTATTTCATCGATAACTGTGAGTATACTTTGTTTAGTATCTTGAAGTCTCCACCTTATTCTAGAGCAGTGGTTCTTAACCTGGATTCGATTGAACCCCAGGGGTTCGGTGAGCGAGTCTCAGGTGTTCGGAGGAGGTAAAAATCAGAAAAAAAATCATATTTTATTTTTCCTAATAAGAAGGGTTCTGTGAATGCGCATATAAAACTGGTGGGGTTCAGTACCTCCAAAAAGGTTTAAGAACCACTGTTCTAGAGCGTTCTATTTTTATAATGTTTTTAAGATAATATCTCTGTCCTTTTTATGTGCTGTAAATTTCTATAAGTCTAAGTCTCTATAAATTTCCTCAAATATTATTTAATAACCTTTCAGCTTTCATAACCCTTTTTAAAATATCGGGTAATTTTCAAACTAATAATGTCCACATATTTTTGTGTAAGGGATGTCCATTTTTATTTCAAGTGACATACTTTTTCTTTTGCGATTTTCAAACAATTTTAATGGAAATTTATTTTTTGAAATCGAGTTTGTTCATCATCCAATCTATAATAATCATGCTGTAAAATATTAAAGATGAATTTCTTTTGGCGCTGTGCGCAACGATATTAAATATTTGTCGGGTAACATCTTTGAAAATTCCTTCCTGTAATGGAATACGTTTGAAAAAAAACCCACTTGTTTATTTATTTGAATGATTTTCATTGTTCTTAGGGATAAATAAAAGGGCACTAAATGCCCCCCACCCAATAAATGTTTACAAAAGTTATTATAAATTGCACTTTTTGTAGGAGAAAATTTTACATATTTTATCGGCTATTTAGCGAAGTGTTGTTGACAGCGTCCTAAATTTATGTATACGCTGTTAACGCTTAATTTTTTTTTCCCGAATGCAACCCCAGCAAAGCCGGGTATAATTGCTAGTCAGTTAATGAAATAGAGCAAAATCGACTTCGTCCTTCGTCTTTGACAATTTTATGCCAGTGTGCAAAGTGCATTCAGGGCTGGCGCTAGGAGGGTGCGGGGCCTTGGGCAAATTGAATTTTGCGGGGCCGTTGACGTTATATATTCCGCCGATAGGATATTAAGACACGTTATAGTCCATGATAATCCACTTTCGCCTGGTTAACATGCGCCCAGATGTCTTCCCGAGATTCATTTTGAAAGGATAGTATGGGAGCCAGACTGACCTTCAGACTATTTGATTATCTAATAACTCCTAATATTGTGTTGACCGGATTAGGAATTATTAGCAGGCTTAGGTATATTATAAATATACTACGGCAACGCCATCGCAGGCGCCGGCCCTTTTGTATTATAGAAAGGAAGTAGAAAAAAGGTCTTTACACAAACACAAAATGTGTGAAAATTAAATAATTACATTTTCCCATATCAATAAGAATTTTTGTTATGACATTACCATTTTCAATAAAACATCTTATAAAGAGTACTAAAATTTTATAAATTGAACCATATCTTAAAAACTAGTGCTGTTACAAAAAAAAATAGTGCATTGTTCGGAAACAGCGCCCCAAATAATGTTAGAGTCAGTCATAAAACCCAACCCACCAAGAAAAAATGTGATTTTTCGGTGGCCCGTTTGATCGATTACAAACAGTCCAAGGCGATATCAGATCTACCATTTAATTCTTGCCAAAATCTAGATGGTGGGATCTTACGCTTTCTTGACTATAAGAACGAAATCTGATGGCCGAGCCCTTAGACACTACTGACACTATCTGTCTATCAACTGATTGGAGGCGTCCTCTCCTTTACACGCCACGGCTCAGCCCAATGTTGTGACAGTGTTCGTACTGTGCCATGCTTGTCAACATCCCAAACATATTACCATGTGGGAATAAAAAACACAGTGTTGGTGAGCACTTGAGAAACGACACAAACACACAAACGCAATATAGCAACAGCAATAACAAAAAGATTTAAAGTATTGGCCAAAGACTTTCTAGTTTGTTTCTGTTTCCAGTCATCCAGAGCCGTGACGTGAACCCTGAAATCCCAGTAGCTGCAAAATGGAGCCAAAAAATTGGGCATAAACAATATAGATATATATTATTGAACTACTCTATTTAATTTTATTCATTTAACAAATCTGTTTCTATAAATAGAAAGCAATAATAATGTTGCACACACTGTACAAAAAAGATTAGTTAATTAAAATTGCAAAGAGACATAATAAAAAATAACATACAGTTTATCACAGAACATTAAGAAGTGTTATAGTAACAATCCACGTGTTGATTTCTTTTTATAAACAACCTATGCAACCTCTGACTCTCTAAATATTTTTCTTAACATTTTTCTTTATTAAAAAAAAAGATCTAGAATCTTAATATTGAGTACTTGTATTTAACCAAAAAAAAAAAAAAGTGAAGTGGATCAACACCATCCGCACTTTTCTAACTATAAAATCAAGTAAATTTTCCTCATAAGCCATGTTTTAAACAAAGGTATATAGCTGAATAGCTGCATGGCTGTATAGCGAAGTATGTTGCTTCAAATCAATACACGAATTAACGATTGTATTTAAAAAAAAATATGTATATGTGAAATTTTAATTGTAGTTCTTTGATCGCATTGTGTCCGGATGTTGTTTTTTTTTTTTTCCAGTTCATCACGGGCTACGGGGCAGACCCGCTACACTGGCCTGGCCCTCTGCTCCGCTCTTGCGATGTTGGCCTCCCTGGCGAGCTGGCACAGTGCCAGCATCGGGCACGTGCAGACGACGCTGCAGTCGTTCATCACGGAACCCTGTGGATTGGCGGGATGGCAAAAATCAAAACATAATATCGTTGTTTTTTTTTCTCTAAAAAACTATGTTGACGATTCCAAGAATAAAACCACTGTTCATTAAAAACCGCCTCGAAATTTAATAGATTATGCTATAATATATGTTAATACTTAAGCCCATAATAACCGTAGAATTGATCGTTAAATTTCCCACGCTTCCTTCATATTCCTATTTATTTCCTTCAATTCCTGGTAATCTCCTTCAACTCCCAGTTATCTCCCTCAATTCCTACTGATCTCATTCAATTCAGTTATCACCTTCAATTCCTGGTTATCTTCTTCAATTTCTAGTTATTTTTAGACGTTTCACCTCGCAGATGTTCCGATCCGATATCTTGTGCAACGCTCCAAGGTATTCTATTTCTCTTTGTGTTTCGGATACATTTTTGACGCTGTCTTGAAATTCGTCAGAATCTACACCAACCACCAGCGTATCACCTTCTTTGAAATGAAAGTGGTCTGAATGGCTCTCCCTCTCCCATGTTTATTTCAGTTCACACATTTCCTCGTACCCTGAAAGCCTACTGAAAGATTCCCCTTTCACTCACCGCGATGTTGCGCTCTGTTCTTATCTTGGTCCTGAGGACAATCATCCATCCTGGCACGCAGTATGGCAAGCAGCACGACTCGTTCATATCAGTGGCTACCTTGCACTCGAGACATGGGTAGCAGCACATCCCCAAGAGACCTTGACAGTGGTTGGGGTTTTAAATAAAATAGATATAGTTGAAAGCCAGACAAATTTAAAAAAAAAAAAAAGTACAAATTCTAACATACGAAAACATCAAGAATTACATGAGAAGACACCAAGACAACATCAGAAAAACACCAACACAACATCAGAAAAACACCAAGCTTTTTACAGAAAAAAAAACTTACATCAGAAAAACACCAAGAATTACTTACATCAGAAAACCAAGAATTACTTACATCAGAAAAACAACAAGAATTACTTACATAAAAAAACAAGAAATACTTACATCAGAAAAACACCAAGAACTACTTACACCAGAAAAACACCAAGAACTACTTACATCAGAAAAACGCCAAGAATTACTTACATCAGAAAAACACCAAGAGTTACTTTAATCAAAAAAAAAAAACACCAAGCCTTACACAACGATTACATTTCACTTACAGACGTTCATGTCGCTGCAGCAGTCACACAGGCCTGTGTCCCACTGACGGGGCTGCGCTCGCTGCGGCTGCTGCTGTACGATGGTGACGTTAGTTGAATGACTCATCGTTTGAGCCCCGGGCCCCATGGAGGTCATCGGGGCCATGTAAGGCGTGGGGCCCACCTGGTTGTACTGGGGTGGGGCGGGCACTGGTTGTTCGGTGACCACCTCGGGTGCCTGGAAGCACAGACCATTATCTCATTGGTGGAGTACTTTTGTGCATTAGGTTAGGAGGGCAAGGAAGAGCCGGGTGAGTGCTGAAACTGATCTGTTGTTTGCCTAAAGAAACTAAATATGCCCAAAATAAAGGCACACAACTTCTAAAACTTCCAGGTTGGATTTTATCCCCCCACCCCCACATCTCTTCCAGCCCCAATGATTTTGTCGGAAATTTCAATTGCAAAAAAGCAGATTAAAATGATTAAGGTTCTGTGACTAAAGTTATATGTTGGACTAAAGGAGGGGGGGGGGAGGTCTTTGAAAAAACTGGACCGAAAAGAATTAACTGTAAATTAATTTTCTCTTTTGGAGGCGATTCTCTTTGATATCGTACCGACCAGGGGCGTAGCTGGCGGGCCCGGGAGAGGGGGGACCCGGGATCTAGACCCCTCGGCTGGCGTCAAAAATATTTAAGTTTTATAAAGCAGTAAAAGACAGCCCTATTGAGTGCTGAAACTATGGCTAAAGGTTGGACCCCCCACCCACCTATTCCTGTAAAAAAAAAAAGAAAGAAACCTCCGCCCCTGGTAACGACAACTGATCAAATCCTCTTAATAGGGCTTGTCATTTAAATGGCGGTGATACATTCATAGAGCTGCTTCATTCATCCGGGCATTCCGCTGGGACAGTCTTTCATAGAATTGCTTCATTCATCCGGGCATTCCGGTGGGACAGTCTTTCATAGAGTTGCTTCATTCATCCGGGCATTCCGCTGGGACAGTCTTTCATAGAGCTGCTTCATTCATCCGGGCATTCCGCTGGGACAGTCTTTCATAGAGCTGCTTCATTCATCCGGGCATTCCGCTGGGACAGTCTTTCATAGAGCTGCTTCATTCATCCGGGCATTCTGCTGGGACAGTCTTTCATAGAGCTGCTTCATTCATCCGGGCATTCCGCTGGGACAGTCTTTCATAGAGCTGCTTCATTCATCCGGGCATTCTGCTGGGACAGTCTTTCATAGAGCTGCTTCATTCATCCGGGCATTCTGCTGGAACAGTCTCTCAGCACAGTTCAGTAGTGCAACGTTAATAACCTAACATTGATTACACCTGTGTTTGATTTGATTGATTACACCTGTGTTTGATTTGATTGATTACACCTTTGTTTGATTTGATTGATTACACCTGTGTTTGATTTGATTGATTACACCTGTGTTTGATTTGATTGATTACACCTGTGTTTGATTTGATTGATTACACCTGTGTTTGATTTGATTGATTACACCTGTGTTTGATTTGATTGATTACACCTGTGTTTGATTTGATTGATTACACCTGTGTTTGATTTGATTGATTACACCTGTGTTTGATTTGAACTGTCGCCTCTTCGGGGGGTCTCGCTCAGAGTGGTTCTTTGTCTGGATAAATCATGTGAGTGTAGTCTGCAATGATTACTGTGTTAGCTTACAATATTTAGCTTACAATATATTTTTGTTTTAATTTTAAAAAAATTCATCAAATAAAGAATATCGATCAAAGACTTTAAAAAAAAATTAATAAAAAAAATAAATTATTCACAGGTAATTCTGAGGCCTTGGATGCTGGTGTCTTCCCATCTTTTTCGTTTTTACTTGACTCTGCCATCTCGCTAGTAGAAAGTGTGTATACTACCCTGGGGAAAAAGATGCTTTGATGATTTAAACTTTGACGTGACAGAATTAAAAAGAAAAAATAAACTTGAAAAAAACAAAACAACAAAAATACAATCTATAAAAATAAATATATAAAAAAATTAGGGCAGAACAAGTATTCATGATTAATTTTAATGTTTAAACGTTTTTTCTTCATTTGTTTGTGATCAGATAACTAAATTATCCTTAGTTTTAAAAATTATCATTTCCATTCCAAAAACTAGGCATTGATTATTTTCTATTCTTTATATTTTTATAGTCAGGCCTACAACAAGTACCAGGCTAAGACTCCATGCGGTTGGTGCACGTAGAAGTGATTTCCACTGATTGGTTTGCACTGACATTTAAAACCACTGCGTAAGGACGTAATGCATTGTTGGACTTCTGATTGAACTTATGGCCTTCCTTGTTGATGTCTGGGTGGTGTGGTTTAGGGGGGGGGGCTGAGGGGTGTGCAGTTTTGGTGTCACGGTGGTGCTGTGGAAATGTTGTGGTGTGAAGTGTTGTTGTGGTTTAATAGTATGGTGATGGTGATTTGGTGGTGGACTCGAAGTGGTGCATTGGTGTGTGTAAAATTTTTTTTTGCCAGTGTAAAGTCTGTTGGAGATTTGTAGGTGTGTGACGGTGGTGAATTTGTGGTGTGAAGGTGGTGTTGTGGTTGTTGTGCATACTACTCACCTGCAACACACTTACGGTGAGGCATGGCGATGCAAATATTATTGGTGATGCTTCTTTTATGTCACTTTATAAGTTTAAACTTGTAATATTTCATAAACGATATTATTTGTAACAAATTCACACCAATGTCGATGGGGTCTAATTTATATAACCTTGTTAAATGTAATGTTAAAACACCTTTTCTTTTCATCCCATCAAAACGAATCATCTCCCGCAGTTGTACCTGTTCCGACCGCCCAGGAAGACGGTGTACTTCCCTTTGTCGTGCTACAAAGCTGCAACTTTCTACTTTACATTTACACGTTGTTACTGCAGACTTACAACCCATACTTTACATTTACACTTTGCCACTGCAGACTTACAACCCATACTTTACATTTACACTTTGCCACTGCAGACTTACAACCCATACTTTACATTTACACTCTGCCACTGCAGACTTACAACCCATACTTTACATTTACACTCTGCCACTGCAGACTTACAACCCAAATTAAACAAATAATTTGGTACCAGTTTAAAAAAAAAACAATTTTCAAATGTAACGTTGGTGGGTTTTTGTTGTTGTCCTCTCAAAGTTTGTGTAGACATTTGTTTGGCTAGGTTCAGTACCATACATGGTTTAGACTTTTTTTTTTAAATAAAAAGAATGAATAGGCAGGTCCGGTGGTAAAAATAATTTACACTGTTCATGTAAAATAGTTTAAAAAAAAAATAACATAAGAGATTTGCCGGCGTTAAGGCGGAGCTACAGATACAAAAATAACATTAGCAGTTCAAAAAAAAAAAAAAAAAAAAAAAACAAAAGAGATTTGCCCGCGTTAAAGCGGAAATACAAAAAAAAAAAAAACATTAAGAATTAAAAAAAAAAAAAAAAAAAAAAGACAGGCTTGCCGAAGTACACAGATGGCGCCACTGAGCGCTATTACTGTTTCTTTTGTCCTACATATAACTGTTCACAGTCCATTGGTGACATAATATTACTATAGTATCCACAAATCTGCAATTTTACACAGGATCTTATAATCTTTTAATCTCTTTATTCGGGGTTCAATATAAAAGTCGACGGCTTATCTCTTATGCATAATTGTAGCATGCGCAAATAATGTATAGGCCTATAGAAAACAAAATTTGGGGAATAGACAGCTCCAAGGCTATAAGTCTAGCCGGAGTAATCGTGCACCCAGAACTCATGTTAGAATAATTAACATGGATTGTATAGGCCATACAAAACAAAATTTGGGGGAATAGATCGCCCCAAAGGCCGTAAGTCTAGCCGGGGCAAACTTGCTACCGGAACTCATGTTAGAATAGTTAACACTGACATTCTTGACGCCGGTCTGGCAGCCGTGGAATTATGTGGACTTACAGGCCCGTCCTGTTAACTCGTGGGTTGACGAGATAAGGGTAGGTAGTGGCATATAGTTAGGCTCATTTATATTTTGTTTTAAAAATATCTATAAAGCGTCCGTCATTAGTTATTGATTTCGAGATTGTGACTGAGAAATTCTGAAGTTGGTGAGCGCCAGCAATCTAAAATTAGGAGAGAAAAAATTAAAACACATAATCACGCATGCGCAAAAATAAAAAAAAAATAAAAAAAAACCAACAAACAAACCAAAAAATATTTTCTCTTCGACCTTCCCTGTTTAGGTTTCTCTGTCAAGTATGGTCTGACGCTTAGAGCCCGTTGAGACGATCACGTGCCGGTGCGTCGAGTGGGGGGGGGGGGGGGTTCCCGTTTGGATAGCTTAAACACGGGCAATGAGGCAGACGAGCTACCGCTGCTCAACAGGTCAGCCATTTAAACTTTAAGTTTTAATTCCTGTTCTACAAGGCCGATTGGAGAGTTTTGACAGTCAGGAGGAGATACGTATACGGAACTTGTGATAGGAAAGTAGGGCAGAATTTAAATAGGTCAAAATGGAGAGAAGGGAAAAGTTAGAAGGTGTAGTAAAGTGGACAGAGAGAAAGTATGGTAGAGGAAAGGCAAGCGACGTAAGCAATCTCAGATTGATGGGCGAATAGGTATCTGAGGTGATGAATACCTAATTAAATGAAGATAGAGAGAGAGAGAGAGAGAGAGAATGAAAAAAGAGAGAAAGTGAGTGTTAGATATATATATATATATATATATATATGCATAGATAGATAGATAGATAGATAGATAGATAGATATATATATATATATATATAGGAAGAGCG